TGTGTGTGTGTGTGTGTGTGTGTGTGTGGCCAGCTCAGTCCACTAGGGGGCGCGGCTGGCTGGCATGTGGTGCTGGGGGAATTGAACCGTGGTCCCTGTGCTCTGCCAAGCTTGTTCTAAGTAGGTGCTTTAGACCACTGAGCCATCTCACCAGCCCCTAGAGCTGTACTTTCCTGCCTGATCTTTTTTGGTTCTTACCATTTTTTTCTAGCTTGGACCCCACACACACAAGAGAAAGCTCTTCAGGGTATAAACTGTATCCTCCTTGTGCTTGTATATGTACCCCTACGTGCAGCCTGCTGTAAGACTTTGTGCAGGCATTCAGTAATCACAGGATAACATAATACATAAAAATGTGAATAATAAAGTTGCTGGGCTTCGGGGGGAATATTTCAGAAGCAGTCTGGTGCTATGGAGTACAAGAAGACGGACGCTCCCCAGCCAGACGTGAAGGAGGAGGAAAAGGAGGAGGAGGAGGAGAAGGGAGAGGAGGAGCAAGAGGAGGGGGAGGAGAAGCCTGGTGAGTCAACCCTCCAGAATAAAGGAACACGTTCCAGCTAAGAATTTTAGATTTTAATTACCAAAAAGAAGTGTGTGAGGTTTTGCTCAGTTCAGCTTTTTAACTTCTGTATTAGAGGAAAAGCAGAAAAGTGATGCTGGAGAAGATGGTGGCACTGTTAGTCAAGAGGAGGAAGACAGCAGGAGCCCTAAAGCAGAGGTAACAGGCAAAAAGGTGTTCTTAATTGCAAGCAACTAAGTTGGAGTACACTTAAGGGTATATTTTTACAGGTAATTTATAATGGTCATGACTGTAAAAAGTTCATTTATTGTGGGGGTTTTTTGGTGAAAAGTTCATTTAGAGACAATTTTTGTTAAGAACTTCCTAGTTTTGTACCAGTCTTGTCTCATCTTCCTCTCTTGCTGGCCCCTCAAAAAGTATTTCTTGCAGAATTACTGCATCGTACACTATTGTCCCTGCTGTCCATGGATTTATCTATTTATTCATTTGACAAATACTGTATTTGTTGTATGCCTGCTGTGTGCCACACCTTGTTAGTGAACCAAAGGAACCCTGGAAACTCCTTGTAGTAGTACAGGAAAACGGAATAAGAAGTAGACATTGAGAAAGGAAAGAACACCTGGGCTGGGGAAAGGAGAAAAGGAATGGCACAGATACATGTAAGTGTGTGTGTGTACACAAGCTAGCTAAGATTACTGGACTACTAGTTTCTTTTAGTTTATTGAAAGGAAGTTATGTTGTTGGATCAAGTTTACATGTTTGTATCTGTTAATGGGAGCAACTACTTTGGCCAGCTCAGGATGCCTTCAGGGCAGGTCTGGTAAGGCTTGAGGATCTCGGGATCGAACCCCAGCATCCTGACTGCTTATTTAAGCAGTCACTTAAAGAACTGAGCTAATGGCCAGGCCCCCATTTAAACAACTGAGCTAATGGGTAGGTCCCCCAGAGCAACTCCTTTGAAGTTAACAATATGCAGTATAATAATTGTTAATTTTCTATCATCTCAATTTGAAATTCTGTATTTTTGTTTTTTTCTCTTTAAAATGAAAGAAGTAGACATTGAAAATATGTGACCCAATATATTAAATAAGCCACTGAAGGTCAGGCAGGAAAATAGTGGAAGTGCAATGCTAACTCACTGAGCCCAGCTCGGTTCATTCACGCTGCTAATCCCTGCGCTCTGGCAGGCTGAGGTAGCAGGATTGCAAGTTCAAGCCTAGCTTGAGTAACTTACTGAGACCCTGTCTCAAAATGGAACATGGAAGGTGCTGCAGATGCAAGTGGCCTCATAGGCCCCCATGTAGGTAAGCCCTTCCTCCTGATGATGTGGATAGCATGGTGGCCTTTATGAACAGGTGACAGGTTCTGTTTGTTGTGGCTGTTGTTTTCTCTAGGCTGGGAGAATGGAGGGGAGCAATAGTAGGCTTCTCTAAAGACCCAGGCAGTGCTGTGGCTCTGAGCAGGATGACAGGACTGAGAACTACCTGAGAGGTTCTGAGCCGGCCACGGTGGTGGCCAGACATGAGGGGCCTGAGGAGGCAGCTAGCGTTGTGTGTCTGTTTAAAGACAAAGCACCCTGGGTTGAGTCTGGTCCGTCACACAAACCTCTAGTTAGGGGGCCTTTTCCAGCCATATTGCTGTCTTCCTGTTGATAAAAATCAATGCTATTTCTGTTGTGTTCATATTTTTTTAGTGAATATGTTCTGTTCCAAATAGAGTGTAGGTCTTGAATGTAGGGACCCCATTTCACGTTTTTATTTATTTTTTTAATGTTGCTGGGGTAGAACCCAGTGCTTCATGAATGCCAGGCAAGGGCTCTACAAGTAAAAGGTTGCTCTACAGTTTGGTAAAGGGGCGATTTCAACATTCAGAAACTGACAGAGCAGAAACAGTACCAGTTTATAATCCACTTGGATTGTTTACAGTCTTCTGAATTCTAGATATCTTATCCTCACAATGGGGCTGATATGGGTCAGGCAAGTAGACTGTTTAGGATTAAGTCCGACAAAGTATGTGAGTTTTTTGTAAAACAAGAGAGACAAACACTGAAGTAGAATATTTGTAACTTCACTACTTTTGCTAACTTTTTTTTTTTTTTCCTTTATGGTGCTGGGGATCGAAGTCAGGACCTTGTGCTGGCCAGGCAGGCACTTACACTGCTGAGCTATCTCCCCGGCCCTGTAACTTTAGTACTTTTGGATAGTATTTCGTGGTCACGCAGTTTCTTCTAAGTTTTCTTCAGTTCATCTTTGTGTGTTATTCTTTACCTAGCTGATCTTGGGAGCTTGGTAAGTTTTTGTCTCTTGTTCAGTGTGCTCATTACAGTACATTTCTTTTCTTTTCGACCAATAGGAGGATGAAATTTTGAACAGATCACCAAGAAACAGAAAGCCGCGAAGAGAGTGAAACAGTCCTACGAACTTGATCTGTGATTGCTTCTCCCTCCCCTCCCCTTGCAAGTGTGGTCCTAGGAGAGGACCTGGCCTCTCTTAGGTTGGCACTCGAGACTTCCGACGTCACCACCAACGGGTTCCAGCTGAATACTAGTCTGTGTAACTTAAACATCTAGCAGTAAATAATTGCAATTGTGACATAAAGGAAGGACCGTGTTTCTGTAGAAGAGAAAACATTTAACATAATGGTTGTGAAATGTAACATGAAACAACTAACGTGTATTTTTTGTTATGTTTTGAAACACCTTTTTAAAATAGAATCATAAAACCTTGCCAGTCTAAAATTTTGGCTTAATATATTAATCTGTGCAGAAATAACACCAACATTTAGAAATACTAGGAGAATGAATTTGTTTTTGTAACTTTTTTAAGTTGATATTATAAAACACTCATGTCTCTGTCCCTTAAAATTGATAATCATGTTTAAAGTGCAGTCATTTGTGGTTATAATGTTATTTTTCTTGCTTCCATTATTCAACTTCTAAGGAAATTGAGAGATTCGGAAGCCCAAATTTATATGAGTTCTGTTTAAGTTGTATTAAAATTAGACATAGAAAAATACACCTTTTCACTTGATGTTGGTTAGACCATAAAGTACGTGTGTTCTGTAGCCCTTGGAACTGCTCAGTTTCCAGACAGCTTCGCAGTTAGTGGAGGAGGTGGCCTAATGCAGCACTCGGGCGTTCATACTTCACACCCAGGGAGGCTCTGGGCTTGGCCTTGGGAGCAGGTGGCTTTTTGAGGATTGCCGACAGAGTACATGAGCTCCAGAGCAGATGGCTCATCGCTTGTCCACTGTGTTGACACTGTTCTCCTTACCTGTTTCCCTGGTTCCCAGCTTTCTCCTCTGCTATGCATTGTCTTCACAGCGCAGCTTGCAGTCTCGTTGCTGAAAAATGAGTATACAGCCTGCATAGTGTTAAGCTTTATTGTGATTACATGTATATTTCTTTTCTTTGTTTTTTAAATAGACCCATACTTTTCCAGGGTCAAAGTACAGGATAGAATATAAACTTTGATATTTTTTCTTTCCATTTCTTTAATTCTGTAAAGACTTTAGAAGTCTAATCCAGAGGTGAGCCAATTCAGAATTGACTGTAATTGAACACAGGCTAAAAGTATTTATGGGAAGAGTGACATATAGCATGAATTATCTGATTTTTGTAGAATATTTTAAGGCTTTATTTGCTGTTCATGTAACAGTTGTGTCTTAAATTTACACAATAAAGCTGTCTTGTTAAATTTTTTTTAATGTGACTTGAATGTTTTTCAGAAGCATTTTTAGGTTTGCTTTTTCATGTGGAATGCAGATGGGTGCTATCACAGCCTCTTCCTCATCACTGTAGTGTAATAAGATCATTATTACACCATGCTGAAATGTATTCAGAAGCAGATGTTTCAGCTTTATTCTTTGTTCAGAGGTATTTCAAATGTACTGATGATGCTGTTCCTTGCACTGAATATATAGACACTCCATGGCGTTTATAGTGGGGAGATTTTGAGAAGAAGTATATTTGTAAAAGGTGAAGAATGTACCCATTTTGTTTTTTAAACACTGGCACAGTTAATTTTTTTTAGACAGTGAGAAGCATTTTTCTCACTGTTCAGTGCTTTATCTTTCTTGTTGTTCGGTGGTCACAGTGACCTTAGCTCTGTAGCAGACTTTCCCAAATGTATTCAGTGCAAATAAACAATTATTTAGCAAGACCTGAAAACGTCTGCAGGTTTCTCCTTGAAGCAAATGTGTGGGGATTGTCGCATTTCTGATAATCGGCCTTTTTCATTCTCCACTGACATTGTGTTTCATACCTGCTTTTTCTCTGCTGATATAAAATGACAGGTTAAAATCATTAGTGTTCATTGCCTTTGTGAGTTATTTGGTAGAATTCTTCAAATCAAAAACAACACCTTTGTTCTTTCTTTCCAGTGTTTAAAATGGGAGCTTCCTGGTTTAATGTGTGAAACATTTGCTAATAAGCGGCGATTTTCAGCTCTCTAATAGGCACCTATATTCAAATTTTACATGCAGGTTACTTGTCCCCACTGATTGTAAAATGCCCACTCTCAATCAGACGTGTCCTCTATAAAATCACATTTCAGATTGTCTCTTACTAAATGATGTTACATTAAAGCCCTGTGTTAAGTGTCTGCTTTTGACTGAATTTCTTCATAGTAACTTTTTACTGTTTGAATAGTGGCTTCATCTTCCTTTCATTGGCTACTCTGAGAGTTTACTAATATGCAGAAATCTATGAATGATGAAATTAGGTGAGTTTGATTTAAGTCTTGTATTAAGGTCTTGCCTCTGTTGAGTGATTTCTTTTGTATAATCGGGATAGTAGCTTAGAAAAGTAGGGCATGCTGCTAGTAATCTGTAGATGGTATTTAAAATTTACAGGAACCTTTTGTATAGGAAGACTATTTGGTTTTATTCAGAGCTGAGGTGCAGCTCAGTGGTAGAACACTTGGCTTGCATGTGTGAGGGTATGGATTTAATCCTAGCACTGCCCCCCAAAACAAAGAAAAGAGAGTTTAATTCTGGTGTGAATTTTGTTCAAAGAACAAACCGATTTTGGCTTTCCTGATCTCTAGGCACTTTTGCCTTCTAGAAGGCCCACCTCCTCCACTAAAAATAAAATTTGTATTTTCCCACTGCGATGATATAAAAGCATTCTACTCAGTGTTAGGTTTTTTCTGATTTTAAAATAAAACGTTTTCATAAGCCCTTCTAATGTAGAAAGCAAGGAGTGAGTAGCTGTGGTCTGGCGAGGTTGGCCCCGCACCACGCAGGGCAGCACACCTGCTCCGGCGGCCCCCCCCCCCCCCCCAGCTCCGTGCCCGGCTCCTCCCCGCCCGGCGAGGCTTACCTACACAGGTGGCAGCTGACGCCCCGGAGCCTGTGCCGCGGGAGGGAACGTCCGCCGAGGCCAAGCTGCGTGTAAGCCGCGAGGGAGAAGGGCACGGCGGCCGCTGGGCCGGCGCGGCCCCTTGGGGTTTTGTCAGCGCCGGGAGACCGGGTGCAGCCGCCCGCGGGTCGCCGGCCCTCCCCGGCCACTGGCGCCCCGCTTTCCTAACTCCGGAAGGGCCCTCCGCCGGGCGCAGAGGAAACTGGCCCCCTCGCGCAGAGCTCCTGTCAGTCACGGCTGGCCCCACCCCGGAGCTGAGGCCGCCCAGGGCTTCCCTTCGCTCGGCGCCTCCAGTTCCTTTTAAATACAGTACCTCTGCGCACTGCCTACGCGCGATCCCCCGCCCGCGGGCGGCCTATTCCTCGTCGTCTGGTTGGTTGGGGCTCCTGTCAGTCACTTGTGACTCGGGAGGTCGCCAGCCGTGCCCCGCCCCCTTCCGAGAGGCCTGAAAACAATTTTAAGATGGCGGCGGCGGCGGCGCGGAAAACAATGGGGCCGGGGTGGAGGGGAGAGGCCGAGGCCTGAGGCGGGCCGCGAGCGCCGGCACTAGTCGGGCCGAGCGGGCAGGAAGAAGACCCGCCGGCGCGCGCGACCCCGCCCCGCAGCGCGCGGGAGCATGCCGCGGCCGTGAGGCGGGCCGGGCCGCCGGAGAGAGGCAGCCCCCAGTGCCAGCCGGCCCCGGCCCGGCCGTGCCGCCCGCGGCCCATGGTGCTGCCCACCTGCCCCATGGCGGAGTTCGCGCTGCCGCGGCACAGCGCCGTCATGGAGCGCCTCCGCCGGCGCATCGAGCTGTGCCGGCGCCACCACAGCACCTGCGAGGCCCGCTACGAGGCCGTGTCGCCCGAGCGCCTGGAGCTCGAGCGCCAGCACACCTTCGCGCTGCACCAGCGCTGCATCCAGGCCAAGGCCAAGCGCGCCGGCAAGCACCGGCAGCCGCCC